ACCGGGGATTGACTCGGGTCCTTGCGCTTGCAAGGCAGGCCACCGAGCGCTGAGCTAAATCCCCGGCCCCCAGTCATCTTTTTTCTGCACCTATAGTTTTACCTTTCATGAATGTAATAGAAGTACAATCATGTAGTGACTTTTGAGTATGGACGACTTCCTTCAGTTAGCTTACACATTTGGCATTTATCTCTATTTTATTGTGTTTCTACATTATTATTACCTGGGTTTTATTTTACTTTTTAAAGATTTTTATTAGTACATATTGCAGTACATAATGATTACATTCATTGTGGGAAATTGTTACATGTACGTAACATGTCTCAATTATTTTCTTCACCCTTTTCTCTCTACCATCCTCTTTTTTCTGAGACAGGATCTCACTATGCAGTTCAGACTGGCTTTGTGCTCACTATTGTCCCCAGGCTTGCCTTGAACTTAGGTGATCCTCCTGTCTCAGCCTCCTAAGTGCTGCATTTACAGGTGTGTAGCACCACACCTGGTTCTACCCCATTTTTGCCAGGATCAGATTCATTTATTTATTCTAAAAATCCTTACAAAATTAATTATCATATATATAGGATAACATCCAAATTCAATGCTTTTACGTTTATTATTGACAATTATTTAATCAGATGGCAATACCACAATTTGTTTCTACATGTACTTGTTAAAGAATACAAAAATTACTTTAGGTTTTTGGAAATTATAATAAAATTGCTCTAGATAGACACATGCAAGTTTGTGTATAAACTAAAATTAATTTATCTTAGACATATAAGTAAAAGTGGAAATTACTGTTTTAGCTTGCATTTTCATGAGTAACAAATAGTTTCAATTGCTGTAAATTGATATAAGCACTTAGCATTACCAGTCTTATTTTGTTATAATTTTATAAATTTTAGCCATTTTATTAAGTCCTATGTGTTAATTTACTGTGATTTGAATTTAAATTTCCCTAATAGTGTTGATTTTCTTTTCAGAGACTTATGTGCCCTGTATGCATTTGTTTTGGTAGTTTTCAAGTCTTCTCATTTTTTTTTAAAGCATGTTGTTTTTCTCTTTACTTTTGAATTTGAATATTCTTCATATGTTCTAAATGATTATTTTATCCAGTGTGTAGCTTTTCTTTTCATTGTCTTTCAGAAAATAAATTTCTGAATATAATGTTATCTAATTTTATCAATTATTTTCTTTTATAGATTTCCTTTTTGTGTAACATCTAGTAACTTTTTTCTTAACCTGGTATTGCAAACTTTTTTCTCTATGCTTTCTAACAAAATTTTATAGTTCTACATTTTACATTTAAGTGTGTGAGTTATTTCCAGTTGATTTTTGTATAAGATATAAAATAGGGATCAAGTTTGATAATTTCTATTTTTTTCAGTTTTAATTGAGTTTATCGATACATTTTAGGGATACAATACAGTTACATTAATTGTTGGGATCTTGTACCTCTACATGACAAGTCTTGATTCTCATTTTTTCCCCTTGTCTCTGCCCTCCCTTCACCCCCTCCTCCCCTCCCCATCTACAAATACTTTATTTCCATCTTTTCATTATCTCACATTTTTTCCTTTTCCCTTATTACCCTTCCCCTACCCATCCCACCTTCCCTACACCTTTAGCTCCTTTCTTCCCATTTCTCAGTGTCAGCAATCTTATTAGATTATGTACTATTATAGTTTTTCACACCAGAGAAACTATTCGGTATTTACACATGTGTGACTTATTTATTTCACTTAGGAGTATATCTTCTAAATGGAATATTACTTAGCCATAAAGAATGGATAATTTCTATTAAAGGAAATTCAATTGTGCCAACATTTCTTGTTAAAACTACTTGTTAAAGTTTACCCTTTCTTTATCAAATTATTTTTGTGTCTTTGTCAAAATTTAGCTAACCATATTCGTGTTGATCTATGGTAATTACAACTCTATTCTAGGTCATTGATCTGATTGTACGTTGTTACACCAATATCATCCTGTCTTATTTACTCTAGCTTGGTAGTATATTTTGCAATAAAGAGGAAGGGTACTTCTCAGGAAAGAGATACAAAGACTTTGACAGTTTATTTTAGTCTACCACAGAGACCCATCTTTATTTTTAATATAAGCATGTTAATAGTATAAATTTTCCTCAAGTACTACTTTAGCCTTAATAACTTTCTCTGTTCTTGCTGCACATTTTCCTGATGTCAATACAGCTACTCTTAACTTGTGTTTTTTGTTCACACTTTTTGTCACCATTTTACTTTTAAACCATAAAATTCATTTTTGGAAATAGCACATACTGTACTTGGATCTTGATTTAGCCAGTTTGAATTGTATTTTGGCCATTTTCATTAAACACAATTATTAGTATGGTTGTATTCATATTTACCAATTCATTTTCATTTCTGTTTGTTTCATTGGTTTTTGTCCCGTTTCTCCATAGTGGAGAAAGCATGAAGAGTTCTTTGATAGTTGAGTTGTTTTAGACTTTGTAGTTGCATTAAGAAGTAGGTTGTAATGGGATTCTTCTGTATTTGCTGACACCAGAATGTTTTTCCATTATATTGTTATATTTTATTTTAAAATTAATGCTTTCTTTTGAATTTTCTTACTTCTTGGCTTTTTTATAGTAAATAAAATAATTAAGGTGACAGAGCAAAACATAACCCTGAAAGAACAGACAAAAATTTCCTAGTACTATAAAGGCCATACTTAAAAGTTTAATATCACAGTTTTATTTTAATTTATTTTATCTGGTGCTAGATCATGAACACAGGGCCTGAGTATATACTTACCACTGAGCTACACTCCAGCCATCAGTTCTAATAAATGCTGACTTAGTCAAAATCTAATTTATTTAATTTTTAAAATTAATTTTATTGGTACATTTAAGGTATGCAATATAATAACATTCATCATTGGAAATTTGTATTTTTTAAAACAAAGATTCTATTTTTAACGATAGAATGCTCACAGGTGGAATCCAACGTGGTTCAGCAGATGCTAAGAGGCAAGTAAATGTACATTATCTGGGAATTTTAGATATTGTGACAATAGAGGTCCCTGTCTCAATCCTTTACATAGCTGTGGCTTCCGTTATTTTTTATATAGTTATGAATATGGTGAGAAAATATTAATGAATGCTTCTAAGCAGTTGTGTTTTATTTCCCCACTTAGTGAGTAAAAGTAGGAGAGAGGTAGGATAGTTTTATCATTATTTTTTATATAGTTATGAATATGGTGAGAAAATGTTAATGATTGCTTCTAACTAAGCAGTTGTGTTTTATTTCCCCACTTAGTGAGTAAAAGTAGGAGAGAGGTAGGATAGTTTTCCCAAAGTGCCTGTTTGATGAGCACGGGGAGTGTGAACGGATGGCGTACTGAGGTATTATTCCACTAATAGGCCCTACCATTTTTTGTGTTTTGCCTTGTCTTTGTTTGTGTTTAGGAATCACTATGCTATGATTTGAATACTCTCTAAAATTCATGTTAAAACGTAATTCCTAATGAAACAGTGTGAAGAAGTGATTTGGGGGATGTGATTAGGTCCTGAGAACACCTCCTTCAGGAATGAATCCGTGGTGGTATAAAAGGCCTTGGCTTGTCTTGCTCTTCTCCCTGTCATGAGACACAGCAGCGAGGCAGCATCTTGGTGGGAGAAATCAGCCCTGAACAGACACCAAACTTGCTGGTCCCTTGATCTTGGGCTTCCTATCATTCAGAACTATAAGAAATGAATTGCTGTTTTTAAAAATAAATTACCCAATTGAAGATATTTTACTATAGTAAGATGAATGGACTATGCTTATTTTTAAATTAATAGAGTTTTATCTTTGCAAATTAAAATTTAAAGTTTTCAGGTTTTATATACTTATAGTAAGTGTCTATACAGAGAATATGACAAAATTGTATGATATCCTCCTTTATAGATCATGGGAAATAGGCTTCATCTTTTTTTTGATCCATAGCTACATTTAAAAAATTATGATCATGTGCCCCATTACTATTACAGAATGGCCTTTATAGTGGATTTCTGAAAGATACCCGTGTCTCAATTCTCAGACTCGGTGAATATATTTCTTAAATGACAAATGGGACTTCATCACCGAGAAA